TCATACTGTTCTAGGCGCAACTAATATAGCACTGAACAAAAGACAAATCCCTGCACTCACTCCAACAGGGAAAACACATGTATTTACCAGGTGATAATCATAATCCTCCCCAGAGCTGGTCTGTGGACATTTAGAAAGCAAAGTTCCCTTTTTCTTCCAGGGAGCCTGAGCCAGGAGGTCATGCATGCAGCCCTCTTCCCTGGCCACACTGAGAAAGTCTGTCTGCCATGGAAGACTGACTTGGAGGGAAAAAGACTTGAGAAGTTGGAATGAAAAGAGAGCACTTGCTTGTATTACTTGATTCCTACATCTAGCCAAGCTGAAGTCAACCCTGAATTTCCCTATAACATGAGCCAAGAAATTCCTCTTTTTTGCTTAGGCTTATTTGGGTTGGATTTCTGTCACTTGGAACCAAAGGACTCTTGACTTATACAGGGACTTGGCTCAAAATTTATCTTCTTCTGGATATTTTTCAAAGGCCTGGTATAAGTAAATGGCATATTCCGCAGGCTCTGAGCACATGCAGACAGGACATCCATGTTGGCACCGCACATAAGTAATCAAAAGGAGCCACTGAGGACAAGCACTCTCGTCTCCTAACCCCCAGGGCCTTGTGTAGATTAGATGCCCCAAAATGTCTGGGAAGTAATCACTAATTCTTGGAGTTGCTGAACCCCTATAACTAATAGGGGTAGTGCATCCAATAATATATGTCTATCATATGTATTTATATATCCTGGAGAGAGGGATTGTTTGAGATCAAGAGAGATGGAAGAGAAAGGGTTTATAGCATCTAAACTAACTGAATTCACCCAAAATGCCCCTCCAGGAAAGGAGCCCAGCTGTTTCTCCAGGATACCTCATGACAAGTCACAAGGAAGCAGCCATTTGGCTTGGAAGTAGAACTTTGACTGACTGACTTCTGGCAATTAATAGTAGCTTATACCCAACAGTGCCCATGATATGGTAAGCATATAAGAATCCCCACTGTAACCCAGGAAGGTAAATGCTGTTGTGTTCCCCATTTTTTAGATAAGCGGGCTGGAACCAGGAGAGCTGTAGTGACTTCCCCTAGGTCGCACAGCCAGTGAGACGCAAATCTGGGACTCGGGCCCAAGCAGGCTGGATCCAGATCTGTGCTCTCAGCCATGACCCACGCTGATTAATCCGTAACACTGGGATTTCCCAGCTTCGAATGTCTGTTGAAATGAGGCAGGAAAAAGGTGGTGACGTCAGTAACAGGACCCACACACCTTCCAGTAATTGCGAGCACGTCATTTCTGAGCACTCTGTTTGACTACTGGAGTTAACGACAATAGTAGCTAAAGGGCTTAAAATTTATACCTCAGTTTGTTTAATACTTACATTGACTCTGTGAAGTCAGTACTATTATTCATTTACAGGTGAGGAAGTGGTGATTATAATGCTGGAGCTGAAAGTCAGCAGGGAGCCAGGACCAAAGCCAGGTCTGTGGCTCCAAACCCTGTGTCCCACTGGGCTGTCCCTCAAGAAGATCCAAACCCGGCTTGTGCCATTACAGCGGCCGCGTCCCCCTGTGGGCCTGGGAGTGGCTCTGAATTGTACCTGCAGGTGCAAGCACAGAGTTTCGCTGCCTGCAAATATGGAAAGTTAGGACTGACTTCAGGGTGGTCCACAGCACGCTCTACTCTACCCTGGGAACTTGCTTTTTAAAAATCAGAATGGGGAGAAAACAGTCCAGTATTTCATCATCCATCTTTCCCAACTGTCTCCTGTGACCTTTCCACCTATCTGTTGCAAAGTATTAACCTTGACTTTTTCCAGCATTTAGACAAGTGATCTCCTTAGCTCCTTGGCAGCTAACCTAACAAAAAATCTGGTTTTCATTAATCTGTTCAGAAAGCCTCATCTTACCCAAAGCATTTCTCTTGTCCCTTCTCTCCCTGGAATGATCACAATGAGCCCATTCTGAATGAAGCTCCATCTGTGGTCTTAGGTCACGAATCAGGTACTTTGTTTTAAAATCAGACTGGAGTTATCCAGTGCACGAAAAGAATCAGCACTAAAACAATCTTCATTGTTGGATTACTAAAGCCACCTTCCTCAAAAAGAATAATATTCCATTTCTTTCATAATTCTATTCATTAGATTATTGTAGACTTTTGTGAGAAAATTATCTAGTGCTGATCACATATCATTACCCTGCCAGGCACAGGACATGCAATGTGTTACATTCATTAATTAGTGATTTTTTCAGCTAGCTCAAATGATCTGTGCTCCTTGAGTAATTACTCACCAATCCCCTCCTCCTCCTTCTGCAGCGAACCACCGGGTCTTCGATGCACATTAAGTATAAAACACGAAACAGTACTTACAGTGCGATCCTATCTGTTTTCAGGACATTTATATGAAATATTAGGTCGACAGATAAAAAGATACCAAGAAGTGATTATTTGTTTCAATAAATGGGTGATGCATTTGGAGTAGTTTTCATTCCTTTTATCTCTGTTCTCTAAATTTTCCACAAAAGTTAGATGTAAAAAAAAAATTAAAAATGTTTTTAGTACCAGAAAAAGTCTACTAGCCCTGAAACCCTGTGCTCCCCTGCTGACTTAAGCCTTGTTTCCCTCCCTCTATCCTGGCGGTCTCCAAGCTGCCACCCCTGCTATGATTCTATGACACCCACAGTTCACTCAGGGCTGATGCCAAGGCAGGAATTTTAATACCTGGGAAGAAGCTCTAGGGACAAAGAGCAGGAGTGAGAAGGAAATTCCCGAGTCAGCAGCCCTAGCAGGCGTCATTTCTGGACTCTGAGGGCATCAGCCACCGAGTTAGAGCCCTCGCTCCACCCTGAGCCACCGCCTTCAGAGAACCCGCCCATCCTTGTCCCTATCCAGATCTCACTCCTTCCTGCTGCAGGACCCTGACGACCAGAGGTTGTGCCGAGGGAAGACCTCTCCCTTGGCCAATCCCACATTCCGGGTCAAAGGGATGAGGTTTTAAAAACCAAGCTTTTTCTGACATTCAACATGTACAATTATTATCTTTCCCAGCTCAGAGGAAAGAAAGCTGGAGGCCAACTACCAGCCAATAATGGCCACTGCTCCCTCCAGCCTTGGCAATACATTCTGCCCAGCCTAAGGTGAACCCGGAAGCAATTCCCAGGTTTATTCAGAACACATGATCATAAACAGACCCAGGAGGCTCCAGTTCACTCTGCAAGGGATTTCAAGTGACTCAACCCAGAGTCTCAGCCATTCCAGGAATCATATTCCCTGAAAATGCAGAAACTGGCCTTGCCAGAACTTTTGTTCACATCCAGGAAGAGAGTGCTGGCTGGTTATTCCTGGGACCCATCAGAGGAAGATCACTGGAGGTGAGCAGCCCCCGGCTCTCCCTGCCTCACATGCCTGCTGGGTGGGCAGCCCGCCGGAAGCCAGGCTGCAGGTCTCAGGCAGGAGCTCAGGAAAGGCATAGGGTTTCTTTGCCAGGATTCAGAGAACTGTGCAGAGTGATCACAGCAAAGCAAACAAGGCAACAAGCACCTCATTAGTAGCACTGCTCTCCCGCCCAGGGCTGGGTGCGGGGTGGGTGAGTGTGACCACGAGTGGCCAGATAACCCATGGTCCAAATGGGGCATTTTGGAGAATGAAAGGAGGTGCTATTAACAGCTATGCTAGTGTAACAGATGTTAAACAGGAAAATCTCAGACAAAGCAGGACGTGTGGTGACCCCAGAAAACACGTTCCACTCCCAGAGCCAGGCTAGGGGTCTGCTGTGAGGTTGGTGCCCTGTTCTCTTCCAGAACATGTGCCACCAAGGAAAGTCCACTTTCCAAATCAAACCAAGGCCTCATTCAGAAGCTCCCTGGCATCCCAGGAAAAGAAGAGGAAACTATCACAGGAACCGCAAAGATGTGGCCATAGCCTTTACATGCCTGGTTCACCTCTGCATCTCATGGCAAGAATAGTGCTTGGCAGGTACTGGGTACTCAGTAAATATTTGAATGAATGAAGGAAGGAATGAAGGAAGGAATTAATTCCTGAGCCAAGTTGCTAAAGTCACAGGAACTCCAAGACGACAGAGAGACTTGGCAATCCTAGGTAACACATAATAAGGTTTGAACTCTAAACTGGTGTAAAAATCCAAGGCATTGCAGAGACGGCTATGCATTTCCCTTTGGTGGAGCTTCAAATGCCCTGTGAACTGAAACTGAAAACTTTTACAAACAAACTCATTGGGAACAAATGGTTCTGAAGTCACTGCTGAACTAAACTGGAGCTACTTCTTGCAATATTTCCAGTATGAACTCATTCACAATTTTTATGACCGAAACTGGGACCAAATGAAGTAAATGCTTTCCACACACATCAGCTTTCTTCTAACTCCACCTTCACTGTGGGTAAGATCTCCGAGAAGCAGGTGCCATGACTGAGTTAGATCTGCAAGAGATTTCATGGGAAGCAATGTCTCTGAAGGCTACAGAAGGCAGGGAGGGTCTCAGACCATGACACAGGTGGATCACTTGGGAAAAGAAGAGGGAGAAAGAGCATCTCAGACCTAATACAGTTCTAAGAAAGTTTCAGCCACATTGATGGGGAATCCTGGAGCCAAAGGTGCCCAGTAGAGGAGTCCCACATCCGACAGCAACGGGCCAGGCCAGCTCTAGTGCCCCACCGCATCCGCCATTACCTGGGTCAAGGCATGGCCTCAGCACAAACACAGTGGTGGAGCAGAGAGGGGGGCAGTGGCTGCGCACTTGATCCCCTGTGCTACCAAAGGAAGAGTTCTAAGCAACATGTACTCAGGGCTATCACACACACTGTTTAAAATAATATTCTCCCTGAAATGACTCTTGTTTTCTTTGAATCCAAACAGACTCTGGTGCCAACTATCAGTTGAATACTCATAGCAGATAACAGGCCAGCTATTCCTCCACCCCCATCGTTTCCTCCCAAGTGCTATGACTTTTCATTCCACTAGCCCAGATAAAATGTTTTCATAGAATCTCAATGACACGCTTTTGGATAAAAAATAGAAGTATATTCTTTAATTTGCATGTTTCCAAAGAATCAAGCTCATCCTGGGCAGCCTGCATGGTGGCTGTCCAGAGGCACTTGAAAGGGAGGCATTTAGTCCCATCGTCCATCATCCAGCAGTAAACTCTTTATGGGGTTAGGGTTGGAGTTCTTCATGCTGCTCTTGGTCAATCATTGACTGTGATTTTGGTCCAGAAGCCGTCCAAAGAGTGCAAGCATTGAGCCATCCTTAACGCATACCAAGGTGAAACAACTTCCGCAGAAAGGCCGGTCCTCCCCAGTAACCCCTGTAATGAAATGATGTAGAGAAGATACTTGCATCAGAAAAGACAGGGGTGACCTCAGCCAGCAGGATGTTGGAAGGAAAGCCAGACTGCTCACAGGCCATGCTTATCAGCACAAAAAGCAAGATTTGTCTAAGGAGGTAGAACGATCCTGCAACTAGCAGGGAACAGCCTGCTTCGAGTTCTGGTTTTGGCGTTGACTTGCTGTGGGAGCCTGGACATGCTGATTCAGTTCAGCAAACCTGTGTGAAACCTCTACTATATGCAAACTACAATCCTCTCTACTTTCATTTGCTTGTAAATAAATTATAGTTCCAGGCTTCTCAACCTTGGCCCTATTGACATTTGGACAAGGTAGTTCTTTGCTGTGGGGACTGTCCTGTGCATTGCAGGATGTTTAGCAGCACCCCTGGCCTCTGATCACTAGATGCCAGTAGCATCCCGTCCAGTTGTGACAACTAACTATGTCTCCAGATACTGCCAAATGTCCCCTACAGGACAAAATCATCCCGGTTGAACACCACTAGTACAGATATCCTGACTTACCTATCTCCTAATGGTTTGGACAAGTCAAATGAGATTATCATTGTTTGAAACAAAGAAAAGAAATTAATTTTTGTTACTTTATTTATGGAATGTCTACTATGTAGCTGTCCTTTAATGTGTTATCTCATTAATCCCCACCCTCTGAGGTAGGCAATGTTACTTTCATTTGCAGATAAGAAACTGAAACACAGAGAGTTTAAGCGACTGACCCAAAGACACACAGCTAGTAAGTGACAGATGCATGACTCAAACAAAGGTCTGACTCCAAAGCTTATGCTATTAATCACTGTTTTATTTTTCTTGTAACACAATAAAACTAAAGTAAGGTAGAAGATGAAAAAGTACTTAATATGTGAAAGTGATTTACCATGAGTATTATTATTATTACTATTATTATTTATCCAGCAGCAAGAAAAAGCCGGAACATGGAAGACAGAGACTTGGTCACTGCCAAGAATGCCAGGAAGAGGCTGCCTCCCCTGTGGGTGCTGAGTGTGCTGCAGCTCCCTTCCCTCCCCCAGGGCAGCCTCTCTCCCACCAAGTGTGGCTGAGGCTTCCCCTCACAGGCTGCCATCACTGAACCACGAGAAATGGCCCAGCAAGGTGGGTCCCATTTGCCAGACCTGCTCTGGGTCTATTTCTTCTATAGCTGGGAGGCCTTAAAACAGCCACCCTACACAAGTGTGTGCAATATCCTAGAAGATGCGCCTCTACCCCAGCGATGCACTTACCTCAGCATCACATTCCAGTACAGGAGGGGCATCATTTCAGCCTTCATGAGGTACATGGAGAGTCTCTCCTTGCTCTGATCAAAGGGGAAGGTCTCCAGCGGCTGTGCATTGTAGTCAAACTCCGCAAGAATCACACGGCTGTAACCAGTCACCAGTGGACACGACGTGTAGCCATCATACTAGAATTGTACATGAGACTGAGTCGGAAAGTGGCTTTTTTCATGGTGTGTTATAGATCCTTAGATTCTAGAATTTATTCTTTACTCTGAGCAGTTGCAATTTTGTTTGTATATTCTAATTTTTGTACAGTTAAAAAATGAAAATTATATAACAAAAAGCAGTACTAAGGGCAAAAATTGAAATGCCCATATTGGAGAAACTAATTAAGAAAGTGGCAAATTTGTAGGGAAATATTTTCATGCAGAATGGAAGGTGATAATTAAGACAGTGACTCTTACAAGGCACACAAACCTTCTTTACTGGGGTTTCATTCTTCATAATCAGAGAAATTGTTCTGTCAAGTATTCCTGACTGGGCAGCTATAAGAGAAATGGAAAAGTCAGAAAAATATAAGCATCTAGGTTTCCCATGAAGAAGGACTTGCAAATAACTTTAATGTGAGCCAGTTTAGAAGACTCCATTCCTCATCCTTCTGAATTATAACTAGAACATGACTCTCACTATTTGAAGTTTCCAGATACCAGAAGGAGCTCTTCAACTCATCAAAGGCCTACACAGGTGTCTCTGTAAGTTTAGAGCCAACAAGCCAGCTCTCTCGAAGAGGAGGACTGGCAAGTTCAAACAGAAGAACTGTCAGGGTGGCCATACCCAACCCCACTCCCCCTCCTCCTAGGGTTCAAGGGCTGTCAGCTTGGTCTGTGTGCCCAGTGTCCCCAGCCACTGGGGATGTCCCTGTGATCCTGTGTCCCCAGGATGTCCATGTCCCAGCCTAGATTAATAGCTCTAGTTGTATCAAAACAGTGAGCTTTCCTCTGTACTGGACGGCCCTCTCTGAGGTTGACCAGATGTAGACAGACAGACAGACAGACAGAGAGATTTTGGGGGTTCTGGGGGCAAGAATGGGAGACCGCCTTTTGTATTACAAAAATTTCCCAACCCTGTCACCCTTGTTTCATCTGCCCCATCACACATGCCGCCACTTTTCCTCCTGGAGTATTTCTAGAGCAAACCTCACAACAATTCGCCCATAATCATTTCTGTGTACATCTGATAGTTGAGGAACTTTTTAAACACAAACACAATAACATCTTTACACCCAAAATATTAGCAATAACTCCTTAATGTCATCCAACCCCAGTTTGCGTTCAATTTTGAATAATTAAGACTGCCCTTTCAAACCGGTGGTCACCAGATGGGAGGGGGGAGGGGAAGCGGATAAAAAGGCTGAGGGATCGTGGTGAACAGAATGCCAGCACGAAGAACAGTCACAGGGATGTGAAGCACAGCATCGGGCACACAGTCAGTAACACTGTGATGACTGTGTGTGGTGCCGGACGGGCACGAGTTATTGGGGCGACCACTTCGCAAGGCACGTAAATGTATAATCACCACGTCGTACACCTGAAACTGAGATAACATTGTATGTCCACTGTAATTGAAAAATACATTTAAAAAGAGACTGCCCTTTTAAAAATACAAGCAGTTTGTGTCTCTAGAGGTATGAGACTGGATTTACTTTTGAGAGATGGGTTACCTACATATTGTATGTAAAATGCTCTTATTACAGTAATTATTTTGCAATCACCAAAATCAGGAATCAGCAAACTTTTTCTTTAAAGAAAAATTTTAGACCTTGTGGGGCAAGAGGCAAAACTAAAGACATATAGCAAGAAAGAAAACAAAGATTTTTATTAACAAAATGAAAAATATAAAAGTATAATAATTTTTAGACTATTAGTCCACTAATGAAAAGAATGGAATTCTTTTTTTTTAAGAATGAGGAAAAAAGTTAGCATTCCCTACCATCAGATCGATTATCAATGTCCGTGTGTAGTATTCATCTCAGCCGGCCGTACAAAAACAGGCAGCAAGCAAGGCTCTGCTGATGCCCAAAAGAGCAATGAGTTTTTTACTAGAATGAGGGGATTCAGAAAAAAATGAATAAATAACTCTGCTTTAAAAATATTAACCAACTATCTTTGTGGTGGGCAAGGTAACATCGCTAAAGATCGTATTTCCCTTTTGGAAACTTCTGTTCCTCTTTGCGGGGCAGGAACTGTTCAGAATCTGTAGTGAGAAAACCCAAACAGGACCCTGCAGGGAGGCATTGAGGCCAACAGAAGGGGGGGGTGGCGTGGAGGATGCCACCTGCAGAGAGACAGGCCCTTAGACCCAGGAAGCAGCCACACTGTCCAGGTTTAAAGTGCGTGTGTGTGCATAGGAGTATGGTTGCTGAGGGGTTTTTTTTTCCCTGTATTATAATCCCCTTCTGTTATGCCCAAGCCTCCAGTTAACTTTTGTTAATTGCCACACTGAGGTAACTCAAGAAGAATCCTGGGGCAGAGAAAAGCAGTAGAAGAGGCATGAGCCCCAGGAAAGCCAGACTCAGTGAGGTGAGACAGGCTCTTGCTCTCTATGGCCCAACAGTCTCCACTGAGGTGAGACGCCTGGCTGGTGGCAGGTAAAGCCAGGGCCAGGTATGTGGAACAAGTATAAACTTTGCTAGGGACACTCATAGGACCTGGGGAGGGGGTGAAATGCAGACCCACCCAGGGCAAGTTAAGACTATTGCTGTGCAGACACTAAAGAAAAGAACAAGTAGACACAGAAAGAAAAGCACTCGCTGCAGCACAGCTTGAAATAAACATGGGTTGGAAACCATGCAAATACAAGTGTGGACTTGTTAAATAAATTTTGAAGTAATCATACAATAGAAGACAGACTGTTTTAAAAAAAAGTGAAAACAACAGGGACATTCTCTACGTGTTCAGAAGGAATGTGGGAGCTCGGGAGATGGAAGGTAGGGCTGGGCACAAGACTCTGCACTCAGAACTTTTTATTTAATCATATTTAATAACATCTATTTGGAACACTGAATCAGATGTGTGTTTGTTGGAAGAAGGCCAAAAGTTGGGTCATCTGGACCTCACATACAGCACAGGTATTTTCAACACATAAACTCAGCAGGCTTACAGTAAGAGAAGTGCAAATTCAAAGTATCACCTGCAGTCTACTTATAAATCACAAAAACAAAAGAAGGTTCACTTTGACAATGAAGAGAACCCAGCGACAAAACCTAGCCTCACCAAGGAGGGGGGCAAATTAACACAATCAGCTCCAGGGGTACCACAGCGAGAGCACATAGTCTTGCTTGTGGAGGCAACTTGAAATTATGACATTCTACAAGAAACCAGCCTGAAATCTTCAAAAATGCCAATGTCATAAAAGCAAAAAAAAAAAAAAGTTGTTAGAATGTCTGGTCTAGATTAAAAGGAACCAGAGACATGACGACCTGACAACCAATGTGGTGTGTGGTCCTTGACTGGCTCGTGCATTTAAGGGAGGGCTGGGCCCTACAGAACATTTGTGGGAACACTGGAGAAATTCAAACTGGATTGTATATGAGTTGGTTTTATGATACAATGTTCAATTTCTTGGACATGATAATGATCTTGTGGACATAGAAGAGAAAGTCCTTTTTCTTAAGAGATGCAGGTTGAAGTATTTCAGGGTGAAGTATAGTGATGTCAAAACTTACTGTCAAATAACTTGGCAAAGCAATGCCCATACAGTGAGGAAGCATACATCACAAAATATTAATAATTGGTCAGTGCCTGAAGAGTATAAGGGTATTCACTGTACTTTCAAATTTTTCACAGGTTTGAGATTTCCTTTTAAAAATAAAAAGTTACAGGGAAATTACTATTAATAGTGGGAAAGGCATTCAGTGGGTTTCCCAGAAAGTCTTCGTTAGGCTGAGGAAGTAACGCCACATGAGCTGCAGGTGTATAATTCACACGAAACACTGCCGTCGCCATCGGCAGGGAGGCCTGTGTTTTACCACATCTAGAGAAGACAGTTCCTGTCTGCAGAGGACAGAATCTACAAGGCAATTCTCCCCATCACTGCTAGTGCAGAACACTGAGGTGAAGAATTTAGTTTTCCAGGCTGAGGTCTTAATGGTGTACCAGTCAGGGCACGCTCCACAGTATTTGTCTTAACAGAACAATTTTCTGGTCTGTAGGCATTCATTGACTTGCCTGTGTTTTCTGGGAAACAAATGCTTCCCTAGCTCTACAGTATTTCGGGCAAAAGAAAAATCACCAACCTGCCTGGCGTCACAGGTGAAGGAGTACAGGAATGGGCCCATGGCAGTATGAGAAGTAACAGAATTCCAGAGCACTGGAAAAGTGGTACCCCCTCTCTAATGTGCCCCCCCTAAAAACAACCCTCTGACCTGGAAAAGGCCAATGAGGTCATGCTATCCTGGTGCAAAGCCCTCAACACATTCTTTCTTCTTTACACAAATACTAAGCTCATCAACAACTTGATTCTGTGTCAGGAAAGTCAAAGTCATTGTTAGCCCTCCAACAATTCTTCATTATTAATGGAATGCAATTTGTGCCAATTTTTGTTTCTGTTATGATGGTGCTTTGGGGTGACATCATGTTAAGAAGGGAAGGGACTGGCACTTCATCTTACCTACTGCAGCAGCAGTCTTGGATGTGGGAAGGTTGGTGCAGTCCCCAATCCCAAACACATTTGGGTATCTCTTGTGCTGCAGAGTTTCCTTATCCACATCCACCCAGCCAGCAGCATCGGCCACAGGACTCATCTTGAGGACATCTGGTGGGCTCATGGGTGGTGTAACATGAAGCATTTCATACTACAAAAAAGGAGGGCATCCAAATTTGTGGGTTTTCCAATATTTCTACAACCCTACAAGCTCTCCCCCATCTACCTCACTGCTGTGGCTGCACATTGCACCATACAATCAGTGCCTATACTAATCTACCCCTTCTCCAAGATTGTACAGGCTCCCTGGGGGTCTGGTGATAGAATAACCAGCCATTTTCTTGGTGAGCATGGTCTCCACACAGAGTCCACGTGATCCCTTTGGCAGCAGGCATGGGGGGCTCCAAGATACTGGAGTGAACCCCACTAACGTTCTGTAAGAATCCACTGATGTTTCTCCTATTACTGAAACTAAAACAAAGGGGGTGGCATATCTCTGTTGCTTTCTCCCTGGCCCTCTCTGTTAACTTGAAAGTCTCAAACTGCAAAGAGGTTCTCAGAGGCCTTGAAACTTATAAAAGGCTATGTGAGAAGCTGGCAAGTGAGCACCACTCCCAAATATGGGTCAACCCCCAAAAAGAAGCAATCAAAACACCAATTCAAAATGAAATAAAGGGTGGTAAGAATATTGGCTAGCACTTTGGAAGGAAGAGGGGTCTGCTTCAGTACTGGGTTTACAGACAGTATAGAAGGTATTGGATTTTCCCCCCAAACACCTCTTTCTGGTGCACCCTCCCCTAGAAACAGCCCCTCTGACCTAGAAAAGGCAGATGAGGCCATGGCAATAGTGCCCTGACCCATCCGGATTAACCTTGATGGCTACTTTTTTTTGTTTATGTCTCTTCTACTTTCTGTAGCTCAGCCTTTTTAACTAGACTTAATAAATTTCATCTAGAAATATCAAATTGATTTAAATGTTCACAAAACATTTCATCAAGGTGAAAACTTTAGCATCTTAGACAATTCCAACCTTGTGAGAGTCATGAGCCCCTAGTTTCCATAAGGAGGCTCAGGCGTTCATCATGGCTTGTCAGTCACCGATGGCGCTAGGATGCCTGGCATTTATTCCCACTTTCAAACAATCGTAAGCTTAACCAACCTTAAGGAAGAAGGAGTGCTGCAAACCCTCAGTGCTCCTCGGCGGGGTAACCTTGGGTGGCTCCTTAGGGGTAGGGGTGCCTGAGGCTGGGCCTGTTGGTGAGCATGGAGACTGAACACACGTCTGTGGGATGATGATGGAATGGCCGACAACCGGCTTCCACCAGCTTATTAAGGCCATGTCTGCATCGCTTCAGTTAACTACAAACACTTTTTTTTTAACTGTGGTCAAAATCTTATGAATTCTAGATATCTTTAAGTTAAATATTTTTCATAAAAATCATAAAGGCATGATGCTTTACTTGAGTTAATATCCTATACAAATGGCATACTGGGCAAAACAATGAAACCACACCACCTTCTTACACCATACTCAAGAATAAACTCAAAATGGATTAAAGACTTAAATATAAGATTCAAAACCATAAAGATACTAAAAGAAAACATAGGCAGTAAAATCTCAGACATTTCTCATAGCAATATTTTTTCTGATATATCTCCTCAAGCAAGGGAAACAAACCAGAACAATGGGACTACATCAAACTAAGAAGTTTTTGCACAACCAAGGAAACTGTCAACAAAATGAAAAGACAACCCACTGAATAGGAGAACATATTCTCCAGTGATACATCTGATAAGGAGTTAATATCAAAAATTTACAAAGAAGTTATACAAGTCATCAAAAGAACAAATAATCCAGTGAAAAAATGGGCAAATGAGCTGAATAGACACTTCTCTAAAGAGGACATACAGATGGCCAGTAGACACATGAAAAGATTCTCAACATCACGAATCATCAGAGAACTAAAAATTACAACCACAATGAGATATCACCTCACACTTGTCAGAATAGCTATCATCAATAAATCCACAAACAGTGTTGACAAAGATGTGGAGAAAAGGGAACTCTAGAGCACTGCTGGTGGGAACGCAGACTGGTGCAGCCACTGTGGAAAGCAGTATGGAGTTTTCTCAAAAAATTAAAAATGAAACAGCCTTATGATCCAGCAACTCCATTTCTGGAAATACATACAAAGAAACCTGAAACCCTAACTTGGAAGAATATATGCACCCCTATGTTCACTGCAGTGTTATTTACAATAGCCAAGATTTGGAAGCAGCCCAAGTGTCCACTGATAGATGAGAGGATAAAGAAGATGTGGTACATATATACAATGGAACATTACTCAACCAGAAAGAAGTGAAATCTTGTCATTTGCGACAACTTGGATGGGCCTAGAGGGTATTGTGCTAAGTGAAATAAACCAAGGAGAGACAAATGTCATATGATTTCACATATATGTGGAATCTAAAAATTAAAATAAGTGAACAAACAAAAGAGAAACTCATAGATACAGAGAACTTATGGTTGCCAGATGGGAGGGAGTGGAGAACGGGTGAAAAGACGAAGGGATTAAGAAGTACAAACTTTCAGTTATTAAAAAAAAGTCATGTAGATATAAATTAAAGCATAGGGAATATAATCAGTAATATTTTAATAACCATGTATGGTGTCATGTGGTTATTAGGCTTACCAGGGTGATCACTTTGCAAGTTATGTAAATGTCTAATCACTATGTCACATACCTGAAACTAATACAACATTGTTTTTCAACTGTAATTGAAAGAATAAATACAATAAATAACTAAATAATTTAAAAAAAAACAAATAGTGGAATTGAGTCTGAGAAGAAAATCTGACCTGAAATCGATAATTCAAAAGAAACACAGATATCTTCTTTGTCTATAATTCCTATAGCACAATAACCATTTATTTATCCAAGTTCCAATCTGTAAACTCAACTATGCAGAACTCAGCTGAGAAATAAAGTAACAGTTCAGGCACTCAAGCTCATCATATACTTTGCCCAAATCGTATGCTTTGGGCCCTCGCTCACACCCCATTTGCTTTTACTTTGCATAAATTTTAATGTCTGGCCATCTCATTTTCCATCCAGTAAAATATTGGGAGTGGCAACTAAAAGAGCTAAAGAGGGTGAGACCTCCAAAGTCACTTACAACTTTTTGACAGCTAGGAAAGAAGAAACTGGGACACACACAACCTCAAAGAACACAGCAGTTTGAGATGCTTCTGTAAGGTGCTCACTGACACTAAACCACCCAGTAGGCCCCTAGGACCGTATCTGTGTAAGAGCTATTCATAATTATGATGCTGAGCCATGGCTCCAGAAAGTAAGAAAGTGTTCACAAATATGAAGGAGACACGTCACAAGGAAATAGAAACCATCTAAAAGGGCTCCTCAAATCCGCGACAGTTTGAGTACCAAATAATAAATTATAAATCACTGGGAATCAATGGGAATCTATTAGTTCATACCAATAAGGAATTAAGAGAAGGGAGGGCTTTTGCCAGCAGAATGTCAAGAGCCTACTGGTAAACAGAAAAAAGAGCTGGAAAATCATCATTTTGCAACCACCACAGTACAGATTGGATTAGGAAAAAAAAAAATCGCCAATGGATGCTAAATCCAGGGGAAACGTTAATGAGGAGTAAAGTGTTTGCATGGTCTTTTAAGCATCTCCCTGCAGACTTAGCAGCAGCAAAGGAGAAAAAGAATGACACGGGGAGAAATTAGGCCAAGTCTGGACTGGTCTAAATGAGCAGCGTTGGGGGCGGGGGGGCGGGTGACCACAGTGTGCTTTCGCACGTGTCACCCCAGAAGGACACACATCACTCATGCAGCATTTCAGTCTGAAAGGCATAGCCTGAAACTAATCACAAGACACAGACAAACCCAAAATAAAGATTCTATTAAACAATTAAAGTGGTGGAGGGGGCCTGTATTATTCCAAAATGCCAGTGTTGTAGGAAATATTCCAGACTAAAGGAGGCCAGCTGAAGGGGCATAATTCAATGAAACACCTGCCCATAGACTGGGTTCTTTCCTGGAGGAGAATAAGGACTATAAATGCTATTGACAACAAAACTGGAATACAAATGACTGGATGAAGGAAGGTGAAGGGATAGGCCAAAAAAACACATCTAGCTAACACACAGACACAGACAACACTGTGGTAATGGCCAGAGGGAAGGGGGTCAGCGTAGGTGGAGGTGGGCCAAGGTAGGGAAACGGGGATGAGACTTTGCTTGAGGCAACGGTGCACAGTGCAGGGTGCCGATGATGTTTTACTGAGTTGTGCACTTGAAAGTTGTACCCCAATAAATTCAATTTTAAAAAATGGTAGCCCTGGCTGGATGGCTCAGTTGGTTGGAGCATTATCCTGTGTACCTAAAGGTTGTGGGTTCAATCCCCAGTCAGGGAACATGCCTACATTACAGGTTTGATTGACAGTTCGGGGCACAGATAGGAGGCAACTGATCGATGTTTCTCTCTAACATCAATGTTTCTCCATTTCTCCCCTCATCTCTAATACCAACTTTTTAAAAAACATATTCTGTGGTGAGAATTTAAAAATGGTAGATTAAAACATTGTACCCACGCTAAATAAATTGAGTTGAGAGCAGTACTGTGGTTATGCACGAGAACATTCCTATGTCTTAGGAAATTTACAGTAAAGTATTAAGGGGTAAAGGGCTATGATGTGTGAAGCTTATCTTTAAGTGCTTTGGGGAGAGGGAGTGGGAGGAGAAGAGAAATGAAATGATAATGGAAATGGAATAAAACTTTGTATTATATATATTATATAGTAATAGGTAATAGTAGATCTAGGTAAAGGCTATATACAGTTTTCTATATATTTTTATACATTTAGTTTTTTATTTCTTCAACTTTCTCTAAGTTGAGATTATTTTCAAAAAGAAGTTTTATAAATTATGACCTGGAGTCATCAATGACATTTTAAATGATAGTCCATATACTCCAAGTAAAAAAAGATGTGTGTAATATATTCAGAAAGAGCTTGAACTAGAAAAGCTTATAATGTGAAGTTTTGATGCTTAGGAGACCCATCTTCGTTGTACTTCAGAATTCATTTTTATGGAGCCCATCATTCCTCTAAAAATGCTGAATTAATAAAACATGGCTGCGTACTGTTTTCTCATCGCTAACAGCTCTTGCCAGGATGATATAAACAAATGGTTCTTCCACACATGCTTCTCCAAGTGACTTTCCATCCTGTTTTTACTCCTCGCACACTCCTCTTCCCACTCACAGAAGAAACTGAGACACAGAGAAGCCAAGGCCTCATGCAGAGGCTGGCTCTTTCCCAGCAGCGGGCAGCAATGCCAGATCTTTCAGGGAGTTTGAAGTGCGCAGGTGACAGATGTCTAAAGACAGCCTCTTCAGAGGTGAAGGACTCCCTGTCATTTTTGAACTACGCACGAGGGCGGGGGGCTGTTTCTCCCATTCCATAAACTCCGTCAATCACCAGATCCTGCCTTGAAGGAAGCCCTTCCTGAACTCTAGGCAGTAACTAGGCAGTAAGTTGTGAAATATTTGACTGCTTCAAGTGACTCAGCACCAAGAAAAGTTAAGAGATATAAAACGATATAAATATCTCCTGGAGAAAGCAGATAAGCCCTCCTCATTTCCCATAGACACAGTCTCCTCCCTCCTTCTCTTTCCCACCCACGTTGGTTCCCCTTCCCCCATCACTGTAAGATGCGCATTGTAACCAGCCTCCCCCAGCACACAGCTACAATGGACAGGGAAGCAGGAGCCACAGTGTCACCTGCACATATGACAGTGTTCACCTGGCAACTTAACCTCACCACTCACTGAAATCACTTGGGTCTCTCCAGGTTTGTCCAGGTTCTCAAAAACAGCCTCTTGTTTCTCAGCTCGGACTTCAACGAGGTTTTGCTTGTAGTTAACAGTGAGGTCCCTCTCCTGGATGATGTCTAGCAGGGCATCTGCATACTTCTTAACCCCAAAAATTGCTCCAAGAGAAGTGTTGAAAATGATATTGGCCTTGGATCGCTTGCCTGTCTGAGAAAAAGGAAAGAACAGAAATAACAACCACCAAAGCATTATACTCCTGTCATCTTTTTTTTTTCCAACTGAGACAAGAATTAAAATCTTCAGAGGAGACCTCACCAGCTTTCTCCATCACACACGCGGGTGGGGTGAGGTGTGGACCAATCCACTGTCTCCGCCTTATCTTCTGTCAGCAATACAGCAACTGAGTGCACATTTGAATCAGGGGGTTAAGGTGGGCACTGGTCAACTGAAGGCCACAGGTGAGATTTATTCCAGGTAGAGATAGAGCTGGGTTGTTTATTCATCTATTCACTTGTTCATTCACTCAATGAATATTTAATGGAGTCGTAGAGCTGGCCAAGCGCTGTTCTAGGTGTTGAGGGGACAGCAGCGACAAGACAAAGCTCCCGTGTCCCCTTGGCTCATACACTACAGTATTATTCATGTTTCAGAGAGGCTAGTATTCTCCCAAACATCTAAGATTTTATGACAACTGAGAGAGAAAGTTCTCTCACAACCACCCAATTGTTGGGAGAAAGAGTTAAGCAAAGAGAATTTCCAGCAGGAAAGAAACAGTGAGTCTCTTAGTCTTTGCCTTTGTTCAGCTCCTTTTAGGACTTGCTCACCTGGGTCTCATTATTTGAAAAAAGTTAGATATGAACCTCAAAGGGCTGTGCCAACCCAGAAAGTTCTTTCTTAGAAACAGAAATGATGACGGGAACCATTCCTTAATTTCGCACCCCACGGGGCTGGTGCTGGTTCCATGACAGGTGAAGGCCTTCCCCGTGCTGGCTCGCAACCACGCATTCGACATCTCTTCAGTCCCACCGTCCCCTCCCTTCTCCCCCTGTCCCTTTACAGAACCCCAGACTGCTCTGAACCCTGCCCCTGCCTGGAGTGGACCACGCTGTGGTGCACCTAACGTGACATCCCACAGACGGGCAGGAGGGCAAGAGCAGCTTCTCCGCAGCTCCAAACGGCGTGTTCCCGAGCTGCAGACACGGGCTCCGACGCAGAGGGTGTTTGAGGGACGCTGAGAATGCATCCCCGCCCAAACCTCCCTTTCCACTGAGGTTGGAAATTCTATGTGAACATTTTTTTTTGCCTTTAGAACCAGCATTTTGCCTATTAGACTCCGAAATATATATCAAGAGCCAGAAAATATTCATAACCTTGAACTTGAGTGGGGGCATCTGAGGATATTATTATGTATAAAAATGTACAATGTGCAACTAATTGTCTGACTATAGGGAAATATTTCAGCAGTCTCCAAAAGATCTCCCCAGCAGACTTTTACACACATTAAAAAGTAGGTCACAGCCCTGGCCATGTGGCTCAGCGGGTTGGAGCATCGTCCCGTACACCAGAAAGGGTGAGGGTTAGGTCCCTGGTTGGGGCGTATACAGGAGGCAGCCAATAGATGTCTGTCTGCCTCTGTCTCTCTCTCTCTCTCCCCGCCCTTCCTCTCTCTCTAAAAATCAATAAAAACATTATCCTCAGGTGAGGATTTTTTTTAAGTATGTTACAAAGACTTTAAAAACCTGTAATCCAGCTGAGTGTATATGTACAGTATGAGCATAATCATGTTTTAAAAAACATGTGCAGGGAAAATGTGGAAGGTTGTGTCAAACTGATGACTGCAGCTGTATTAAAGCAACTGGACCATGACTGACTTCTCCCTTTTTTCTATTTTATAAACTTCCAATTGTAAAACTGTGTACCTATGTAACAAAAATTTAGAAATAAAAAAAGTACTCTGACATGGATAAAATGAAATTCTGGCAATCATCAAATTAGCACCGCCTACTCCTCAACCCCCTCCCTTGTCTCCATCCCGGAAAGGATGCATACCTTCCTGAAATAGGCCTCCGATAGATACATGATCTTCTGTGGGGCTCCGGCACACTTTATCGGAGTATTTGGGAAGGTGAAGATGGCGTTGCCCTCCTTGAAGTCCTGCAGAGCTTTCCATGTCTTCTCTACCGTCCTAACTGAATAGTTGGACCCTATTTTTGGATGGGCAAAACCTTCAGGTAGCCCTTTAATCTGCAACAAAGGACACGAAGAAAAAATTTTACCACATGATTTCACTTATGTGTGGAACCTAAAGAACAAAAGAAACGAACAACAGTTGAAACAGAGTCACAGACACAGAGAGCCACTGGTGGCTGCCAGAGAGGAGAGGGCTGGGGGCCTGGGGGAAAGACATGAAGGGATTAAGCAGTACAACTTGGTGGTTACAACAGTCATGGGGATGTAAAGTACAGCATAGGGAGTATAGTCAGTAACATTGTGGCAATTATGTGTGGTGCCAGGTGGGTACTGGAAATGTTGAGGGAAACACTATGTAAAGTATATGATTGTCTAACCACTATGCTGTACACCTGAAACCAATACAAAATAAAATTGAAAGTAAACTGTAAAAATAAATGTTTTAACAGAAGTGCAAAAGGCTTTTCTTTGTAATTTGTACAATTGCAAATTTCAGTACAATTATTAGCCCCCAGTCCTCACACACAACGCAGCAGGCAGGTGTGTGAAGGCTCTGCTAAGACCAGAGCTGTAGCACCTGGAGTCACCCGTCAAGCTGCAGAGTAGACTCAGCCCAGGGGACCCCTCTGCCTCCCTGTCCTTGAGACTATGATTTGTACACATCTCTTCCCACCATGAGAATGAGGACAAGAATCCAGACGTACTTCCTTGTTGGAGAAGCAGTTGCCTTACTGGGAAGCAGAGGGATAGGCAGAACCAACAGCCACAATGTCGATGATAGCAAACTTAAATTACCCTGCATCAGGTTGAACCAGACCAAACTCTTGGTAAAGGAACATAATTAGAAACATTGATTTGGGCACCCCGCATGAAAGGGGGACTCAAGAGTTAAAGATTTTAGCTTCAGTCCTAGTCGACAGGCTTAAGTGATTAATGCATGTAGAATGCTGTTATTCCAGGAACTGGAATGCATGGTCCAAGCCACTAAGTCCAGAGAGGGAACGTTGTGACAGCAATTAAAGAACTGTCGAGTGGCAGATACAGAAGTGCTGGGAAAACCAATGTCGGACTGCAACACTTATCCAATTAACCTTTTTTCCAGACCCTTTGCTGACCCTTTCTTCTCCTTACAAAAAGGTCAGCTTGAGCTGACCTTGAAATGTTAAGATGGTTTTCAGGGTACATAACCTGCCATCTTCTCGGATCTCCGGCATCTGAATAAAGCGCCCATAAGGACTCAGTCCTTGTCTCTACTTATTGGTTCTGGTAGTGACAGGCAGCACGGATGCCAACTTGTCCAGTTTCACACAGACCTGGCCTCGGTCCTAGCTTCTCCATTTATGAGTGTTTTAACCCTTGGTAAACTTATTAATATCTCTAAACCCGTGGGTCTCAAAGTGTGATCTCCAGACCAGCAGCACAAGCACCATCTGGGAACTTGCTAAAAATGCACATTCTCAGGCCCCACCCCAGACCTACTGAATTTGGAACTTGGGGGAAAGCCCAGAAATCTGCTTTAAAAGGAGATTCAATGGGCACTGAGGCTTGAAAAGCTTATGTTCATCATCTGTAAGAGGACAAAAGTAACAGTGCCAGAGGGCTCTTGGCAGGAGTAGAGGAAACCACACGTGCAAGGGCTCAGAAAAATGATACGCACAGGCTAGTGCTCATGTACTCCAGTGGGTAAGGCAACTGGAGGCTTATCTTAAATGTTAGAAGGTTTACACCTACCACACACACTTCTTGGCAATGCTTTAAAAAATTTGTACTAGTATTTCTCCAGTATCTTTCATTTGAACACACTTGCAGAGTAACCTCCTTCTCTGTTCCATGGTATGGTACATGTTTAACAGTATGGGTATACCAAAACTGATTCAACAGTCTTTAGTAAGTGACCTTCATTTGTGGCTTTAATTTTTTTAACTATTAAAATTCTGTGGTGACCAAACAAAAAAGCAGGTTCACCGGGTGCAATGAAAATGGCACAAATTGAGATAAGAGACTCAAGCATCAGTTCTTCCAGTAAGGGATGGAAACGCTCAAAAACACGTCATCAAGATGGGCTGGTCCTCCAGAACCTCCCCAGGCTGTTCTCCAGAATGTAGAGCCACCACCTCCAGAGTCACTGACACCTATCAGATCTCAAGAAAAGAGTCCTGGGATCTCCTCCATCACACTCAATGTCAAGAGCAACTATTCCTGATTACTGATCATATCTCCTGCTACAGTTTAAGTAGCTGTGATGTTAGCAGTTTCAACAATAATCATTTATTGTTATAACATCACCTTGCATTTTAATGTTGCTGCAGTTTCACATCTATGCTAACATTGGATGTTCACTCTGCTCCTCTGAGGGAGGGAGGGAAACATTATTGGCAGATGAAGAAACTGGAGTAGAGCCAGGTTGAGAGACCCACATGGAATCTTACAGAACTAGACACCAAGGCCCCTGACCACCGCCTAGGGCCCTGCCCACAAGACTTCCATATGTCCTCATTCCCAAAGCAAAGTTATCCAAGAGCTAAACAGCTGCTCCCCTACTGCCTTCATTGTTTTTCTCTAACTGAAGAAGCTGCTGTTAAGGGAAAAGGTGCCATTAGGTAGGATCCCTGGTCATAAAGGGCAGTTTATTGCCCCCTCATCCAATCTAAGTGCTTCTCTGGGAACTCTGAAGCAGAGGGAGCAGGGGGAGGCAGGGGGAGGCAGGGGGAGGTAGGGGAAGGCAGGGGAAAGCATGAGGAGCCAAACCCCTGCTTTGGCTGCACAGGAATGGGCTGCACGCTGGGAGCCGTGGACTACCTTATCCCACGCACCAGGCCAGTGAGCAGGAGAAAGGGACGGAGACTGTGGGCAGCGAGAGGCTGCCTGGGGCCCAACAGACCCCAGATCAGAGACCCAGCCCTCTGAAGACCCAGCTACATTTCTGCCCTAGGGATCCAGACACCTTGGTATCCTCATCAAATAAATCCCCCTTCTGTTTACAATAACCTGAGCCATTTTCTATTGTCTGCAATCAAAGAGTACCAGGTAAGACAATAGCCTTAGTTTCCTCATCTCTTAAGTGGAGATAAAAATACCTGTCTCTCAAGAAGCAGTAAGGAATCAATATTAGATTCCTAGCAGGTATTTGGTACATAGTAGAGACTACATTTAAATATATTGTTTCTTGGTTTGCTGCAAAAGGCTGCTAAGGACTCTCAGCACTGGTCCCTTCAAACAGTCCTCCTCAGAAGGCACAGGGACTCTCGGGGAGGCAGTGCCCGGGGGATACACCGTGTCTGCAAAGTCAGCACATCTGGGTGTAACGGGCACCTTTCTCCATACAGCCTACTCCACAGCTTGTCGTTATGTGAGGCTGACAGCCATGCCACCATGACCCAAACTCATCACAACCTTCACACCAACTCGTGGCTTCTCTGAACGTTCACAGAACACATCCCGGGATGCTGTCACCACCCTCACCTTGGACACATCATGATTCCGCTTTTGATGCAGAAACACACTCCAAAGGCCCTTACTGAGCCAGCCTGGATGAGGCCCTTCCCTGTGTCACATTCCTGGAGCGTGTGACCTGGCTATCACCGTGCTTTTTGTGCTCCAGCTCCCCAGAGTCCCCAGCAAACTTCTGGAAATGATACTGATTACTGATTTACTCCACGATGCTTTTGAAAACTAAACTTGAATTCCACAATTGCCAGGCAGCCTCTGGCTCCCTAGCTCATGGAAAAGGAAGACCGAAGGAACTTCCAGGGTAGTAGTCACATTGTCGGCCACTTTGTTCCAAGAAACCCAGCCTCTGCACCACAAAACCCAAAGCTCCCTGAAGCTCCTGATAAACTAACTGCTGGTGTTCTACCCTTAAAGTCTGCTTAAGAATTCATTGTCTAAGTCATACGTTCAAGAGAAATTTTAACCTGTAATACAGCCAACTCAGTCCCACATAGAAAGGTAGTTTTCTTGTACATGTAGAAAACGTTGCTCTTTTGCATGAATTCCCATTAGGCCATGGACATGTTGAATTATGATTAAAGCTTAGAGCTAGATCACATTATTGACAGACTCTTAGAGGAGGCTTTTTTTTAAACCATAAAAAGACTTCTGAGAAATAAAATGAGAGGAGAATATCTTAGGACTTTTTCTTGTCGGAATGAATATAAAGCCACTAAAGCCCGTGTTTGATGTCAGCATAAGTAGGGCAGGGAACACAGAAGTAGTTTCAAACGTACCTTCTCATAGTCCAGCTGGATTCCAAGAGCAATAATAAGATATCTGTAGGAGATCTGCAACACAGAACGATGCCATTTTAGACCAGGACCCCAAAAGTGGCCGTGCGAGGACTGACTCGGGCCCCAGCCTGGGGGGGCCAACAAGTGTTTCCACTTTTCTTTGTGGATGACTTGGGGCTGCGGGTGGTGAGCAGGGCGTGGGGGGGTGCACGCCCCAGTCTGTCACCACACCCACCATTCTCACACCTCACTGCTTCACAAATATTGTGTAACCCGCTGGCTTTTGAGAGCTTGAGACAATGGAGAAGGATGGCAAAGAGGCCACAACATTTTGTGCAATGCTTGTGTTAACAGTCCTTTGTGTTGAAGGGGGAGGAGAATGACTTTCTAATCTTAAAAACTATCAACTTTTTTAAAAATCTATGAGGTAATGTGTGAATCCCAGTCAAATCTGACCTGTCATGTGGGTGGATCAATATCATAACTGAGAAACTGCTCTTTTGAGGGTTATTGAAAAGGATGTGATACAATGTGTCTCATATGGTTTAATGATCTGTTTGGAATTTGAAAGGCCCCTCTTTAAATATGGGGACTGTGATTATACATGCTGAGGGCAAACATCTCCATACTTATCGTGATGGAAATGTGGGTGGAAGATCAGGAGGAAGACAAGTTGAGGCCAGAAAAAGTCAGCAGGGAGGATATAAAGTAAAAGGACGTGCTGATGAAGGAACTGGAGATGAAGAATGATTGCAGTGAAAACCGGGAGCCCAGAAAGGACATCAGGTGATGCCTGCCGCACTCTTGTACTGAACAGAGAAGCGCAGGACACGAGCTGCGCAGATACAGTTAAAGACGCGGGATTCCGAGACGCAAGAGTGCTTGGCTCATGCTGGGGAGCAAGAGCAGGAAGTCACTGCAGAGGTCCAGCCCGGCACCCAGAAGACCCAGCTCCATGGTCACCTCCACAGCGAGGCCTTCCCATGACTCCGTCTTCTCTCCGCGGGCCCCTCCCAGCGGCTCCCTCAGCACAGTGCACATGATGCTTTACAGCACGTGTAGAGTTACACAGCAGTAATGTCCTTTCCCACCACATCAAACACTCCCAGAGGGTAAATAAAGGTTGTGTCTTATCCCTTATATTCCTAGAATCTAGCATAGTCACCAAATCAAAGTGAGGAACTCGGTAATGTTTGTTGAATGAATGGAAGGACGGGTGGTTGATTCCAATTGCTTATGAAAGTACAATTTACCAAAGTGGATAGATAATACATACATTATCATCTATATGATTTGCCTATCCATAGGCAGCAGATACCCTGAAATTCCTTGTTCTGTAGCAAAGTGTACCAGGCACATTAAAAGGCTGACTGAACTGTGTTGAGTCTACAAAGTATGTGAGGTCAGAGGTGACCTGGGGCCTGGGGGTGATGGTCTACAGGTAAAACAGAGGAACACTGACAACAAGAAAAGCATTTGTTTTGTGGGTGCCTCAATGATTCTACTGGAGCATAATATTGATTATTTTCTTAGGACTAGTAATAATATATAATCTGAAAATTATGAGAAATCAACAAGGGAGAAAAAACCCAAAGGTAGCAAAGAATAAAAAAAAAGTCCTCAAGCCTTTGAATGAGTTTGAGTTTCCAGGCCAAATGATTTAAACCCTAAGGAATGGCAAAAACTTGTAGACAAGACTCTTGAGCAACTGCAGAGAACAATGCAGGCCTCCCCAGACGGCTAAATATGGACAAATATTCTAATTTTATACAGGAGGTCGGGGAGGTAACTAACAACTTAGTAAACAGGGTGCTCATCCATTTCAAAACTCCAGGCTCATCTACTGAATGGATGATTCTTGGTGATTTGGGAAAAGGAGAGTATCAACACGGATTCAGACTGCAGACTTGCTTTCTTTAGTCAGTCAACAGGTAAGAACTATGTTGGCACATAGTGGATACTCAATATATATATTATTTCCTTTTTTCCTTTATTTTCATTTATTCTTTTAAAAATAATAACAGTAACATTTCTTGAACATACTTCATGCAACTGACAAGGTGCTATCTCCCATGAGACGTTACATGCGAATTTCAGGTAAGACCATGGGACACTTCTGCTTTAAAGCTCATGGAAGAAAGCCCCACCAGCTGGCACCAACTTCTCCCCCTGCCCTAAAGCAAAACCCCCCAGCTGTCCTCAGGGTCCAAGCCCGAGAAGTCTAAGCAGGGTTCTGAAGTGAGAACACCTACCAGTGCCCTTCATTCTCAAGAGATGAGACAAGTTCAAACAAGCACAAACCCAACCCCAAAGGGCTCTGAGCTGCTCCTGTAACATAAAGGGGTCTGATCAAGGGGGCAGGCACTGCTGTACCAAAGGGATGTCGTGGGTTATAAGACACAAGTCTCCTGGCTCCATTAGCTGGCAGCAGACTGTCCAGGGAAATGAGTTCCAAAGCTCAGTCCTAAGAATTGAGAACAATCTTGTGTTTCATTCAGTCTGCTCTTCTGGAGATGCTAGGTAAAATAAATTCATCAACAGAAGAAAATAATATATAAAATTTTTAATTTAAAATAAATAAATGTATATTTTATTAAGTAATATCTTAAATATTATTTATTCTAGGATTGTAACAGGGTGCAGGGCATATCCCCACAATCCTTGATTGGGGGAGGGGGGAGTGGACAATAGGGTGTTTAAGATACATTGCGTAACAATGGCAAGTTAACAGCCATGCCCTCCTGAAGGGAAGGGGGATGCCACAACAAACTGTGTACCTGACTGAGAACGTTCAGACACTTGCGACACAGCCGGAATACAGCACCTGCAAGAGAGGCAGGGGGTGGATGCCCACCCTCCATGTCCACGTTTCATTGGGAACTTTTGCCCTGACTGAAGATGGCAGCCAAAAGAAGGTGAAAGATATTGGGGAACTAGCAAAACTGGCAGACACTAACACATCATAGGAGAGGCTGGACATGAGATCACACAGGAAGTTCCGGGCCCAGCATTTTAAATGGGGGCGGGCTGAGAGAGAAGCGGTCCGCCATGAGGTCTGGTGTGTGAGGGGAAAAGCCACGAGGTCTGGAGTGAAAAAGGAGAGCCACATGGTCTGGAATACGAGAGAGGAGGTCTGAAAGCCAGAAGTTCAGAGTCGCCAGAGCTGGTGGTGCGGCGGGGACCTGCCCAGCCACCTGGATTTATGAGAGATGTTTGGAGCTGAACCATGACCGGGAATGCTGGGGTGGAGACTTCTGCTTTTCTGAAAGATGCTACCTCTGACTGTTGTATTCTGAAACAGGCCTGGTCTGGCAAAGGGAGGCAGGACTGAGTACTTTTGGATGTTTTTAAAGGGAGCAAGACTTTATGGCAGAAATATGCTATCATTCTAAATCTATATAATCTTCAGATAAACAACCCCTTTCCTTTTTCACCAAACTCTTGCACTGGGAGTCACGCTTCTCGGTGGCAGGCAATCAAACCCCACAGCTGTTCCAGGACAGCACTGCCAGGGTTATGTAACAGGATGAGGGAAGCCTGACTTGGCACTGGATCATGGGAAAAAAAACACCCAGAGGCTTGAACTGACCACAAGGCCAGCATGAATCAGCATTGTGATAACTGTTGCTAAAAATGCAAATGCTAACGGTGCCAGGCTATTCTGGGCTGTGCTGTGGAGTTGCTTACTCTTCCTTGCTTACCTCTTTCATGGAGGCACTAACCAGTACAATGATGTCTAAAGCAGGATAAAGAACATAGTGAGGGAAAAGAAGACCATGAAATATGAGGAAAAGTTGAGAAAAGTGGGGGTGAGGGGACAAGTCTGCCTGAAGAGATAGACTGACATAGACTATAATAAGAACCATCTTCAAATAGTGGAAGGAGTTCTCCATGCACACAAGACATTCTCTCCCACACTACAGGAAGCATAAGGAATAAGAAAGATATTAAGTCCAATAACCCCCTGCAGGCCCAGGAAAGAATAGGAAAAAGTTACAGGAAGGTGGATTCTGACCCATTAAAGACAAAACTTTCATATAACTTATCTGTCTAAAAAAATGAAGAGGGATAACATCAGAGAAGTCCCTGACCCTGGAACACGTAAACACCAACGCACATTCAATTCAACCCTCTCCCCCCATGCATCCCCAATGCCAATTACTTGGCTCTATTATTTTTCATTAATGTTCATCACCTTCCAACACCCTATATAATTTACTTCATATGTCCATTGTTGTATGTCAATTACACTAGAATACATGTCAATTACACTAGAATATAAAATCTAGGACAGTAAGGAGTTTTATCTGTTTTTGTTCACTTATATATTCCCTAGAATTTACCTAGCTTATAGTAGATGCTTAATAAATACTGGAAGGAAGGAAAGGAAAGGAAAGGAAAGGAAAGGAAAGGAAAGGAAAGGAAAGGAAAGGAAAGGAAAGGAAAGGAGGCAAGAAGGCAGGCATGTAATCTTGACCTGGGTTCAGGGAAAAGTTACATAGAACCTCTGAACTCCATGAAATTAAGTGCAAAATTTGTTACATAAGTGAATTCCTCTAGAACAGGCTTTTATCGGGTGCTCAAAAGATCCATGACCCAAGGAAAGGTTAAGAATGCCTGCAGCCAGTGAGTTCCTGCCAAGGGCTGGGACTTGAAAACCTCTCAGTTCCCACCAACTCTCAAATTCTACAGTTCTGTTTAACTGCCAGAGTGCCCGATTTGGACAGCGAGCAGAAAGGGTATTAAGGCCAATAACACCCTGGGGCCCCAAGAACCATGGGAGGCTGGAACAGGCAGGGTGCAACATGACATCTGCCTGCTGCTGTCCTGGGCTCGGCAGCAGATGAGGGGACCTGATGTTGCAGATGGCTTCTGAGCCTGTGGGCTCACCATGCTGTTCTCATGCCCCCGGTCAAACGCAGGGGCAGCAGTTTCTGAAGAGCTTTTCTCCCTGGGTGGTGGGGTAGCAGGAGACTTCCAAATGGTGCTGATCCATCACGAGCCTCAAGCTCCAGCAACCACAATTCTCCTTAGCCCTGGCACAAACCTCAGATGCACTGTTCCCTTATGACTCTGGCAGAGTGCCCCCCAGTGTGACTGGAATGGATATATTTGAACATCCCCTCCTCTGGGAAGCCAGCTGTCAGGTAGAGAAGCTGGCAGCCTTAAAGGAGAAAGGAGGCAGGTGTCTCCTATTTTAACACGTAGCAGTGTTATTTGTTGAGTAAACATTCCCATGCAAGATACTGTACCAAGCAATAGGGCAAACAGTGGGTATTCGCAAATACTTGTCTTAGTTGTTCATTTGTTAAATTCAGCGTCACTCAGTCCTTCCATCTATCCCATCTTCCATTCACCACACACTCTCCCGTCTTGTGCAGTATTTAACTCACACACACACACGCACACACGTATAAATACCACCCTCCCACCATGAAGCTGTTCAGTTTGATAATAGCTGTGCGTTTCACACAAGCCCTCAGATTAACAAAAGCTGAAGGATCCAGTGATTACCTCCTTGCCATTGTCTGTGCGGATGCAGTTCTTGTCTGGGCTCAGCTCAGCCACTCGAGCTTTGATCCACTCCACACCAGAGGGAATCACACTCGCTGTGGGACGGCCAGATGAGGACAACTGCTTGGCGCCAGCACCCACCAGCGTCCAGATTGGCTGGTAGAAATGTCTCTGAAAAGCAAAGTATTTGGAGATTCATTTCAACTTGAGGCTGACAAAGTGTCATAGCTAAAGATGCATGTGCTAGACTCTCCATTACTCCCTCCTGACTCTTGGGGAGTATCACACCGAAAGTCCCCAGGTGAGTCTTCCCCACCCCACCTGCCATTGGTGTCTCCTAGTATGTTAAACTCTAAAGGGCAGCCACCTACAATAATTCTACCAAGATCATCAAAAAAATCCATAAACTATCATTAGTGACCATGGTATTATTAATTGCTGACAGTTGATTTTGGTTTTAACATGTACATGTTATATATCCATGTATATATACCCACACTATGGATACATTTATGTGCACAGATATAAAGAAAAAATAAGCCCGGTAGCCTAAATATGGCTCCTCAGAAGTTCTTGGGGACTCTGGCAAGTCTGAAAAGTTTACAGGCACTCTGGGAATCCTCAAAACTTCATGAACTTCCAACTGTGTGTGCCAAGCCGGTGGAAGGCACAGACAGTCCCCATCAGCCCTATTAGCCCTCTTTTCCTTTCCCAGAGGGTTTACACCCAAAGCCTGGAGGCACCAGATGCTACCCCATAATTCAACACATGCCCAAACTCCCACTGTTTTCTGAAGTCCTCTTGCTTCAGATGATCCACTCAGGATCTCAGGTAGTTGTGAAGGCTCCGGATGCAGGGGCTAAGGGCAGCTAGTTTAACGGCACTGAGAATCCCAGTTCACGGATGGAGTGCACTGGGGACCCAGAGTTCTCAGCACTGCCCAAGCCCTCAGCCTGGCTGGGCAGCACTGCCAGTGGAGGAGTGAACTGAGAACAGCTCTGAAATCTCCCCACTGCTACTAATGGATGTAATCCCAGAGGACAAGACAGAGGTCTCCAGAAGGGAGAGCCAAACGATTTCAAGTCCACCTTGGACAGAAAAAGGAATAAAAACACAAGCTTGTTTTTTTTTTTTTTTGCACTACAAATAAGCTCCAGCAATCACTGAACCAGACGCAGGAGGGAAAGTGCCAACCACGTGAGCCACAGGCAGCTCCTTGGAGACAAGGGGCAAACCAGATGGGCTCTGGCATCTGGAACTGTGTCCAGGCCTCTGTCTCACTGCAGAGAGTAGCCTCTGCCCATGGGTTAGCTACAACAGGCCACCGGACAGAGGTCTCAGACCACTATCATTTAAAATGTTGTCCCTGAATTAGTCACTTTAAGAAGGAAAATAACAGAGAGCACCCTCCGGTCTCCTCTCAGACGGCAGCATGCCAGCCAGGGCCCGTGCAAAGCCGGGCAGCCCCAGGACTGGAGAGACTTCTGGAAAGCAGTGTGCCTTTCCGGCCCTGCCCTCCCCACCAAGCAGGCACCAGATCCATTTTACTCCTCCCCACACACACACACCAAAAGGAAACAGTTCCTTTTGAAACATCTGGTGTATGCCTGGTTCCTTAGGAAACATAGACCAACCACCAAAAATCTTGAATATTTATCTGTTGCTTTTGGACAATTTTTAAATGTTTTTCATGAAATAGTGCCTTCCATACAAACACTTCCCAACTTCCCTCCTGGTGTTCGCTGCCTTTTTCTGCCTTATAACATATTTATAATTCCTTGTACTTAAATTCCTAAAACCCACTGATACCTTCCCAGGGGCCTCCCTGTCCCTGCACTCAACACCCTTTCTCCAGACTGGACCAGAGACAGCAAAGTGCAAGGACCATCAGTTCTCCTTTGGACATGATGTTGAAGGCAGAGGGCCTTGTGGGTTGAGTTATACTGAAGTCCTAAACCCGGTACCTATGAATGTGACCTTATTTGGAAATAGGGTCTTTACAGATGTAATCATATTAAGACAACTGTGAGAGAATAAGTATCTATTGTTTTAAAACACTCAGTTTGTGGTAATCTGTTATGCTGGCCTAAGAAACTCACACAGAGAAGAACATAAAAAGCCAAGAGATCTGTCCTCTTTCCCTCCCTCTGCCTTCTCCAATCCTTGTGAACTGATTTTTGTGCCCAAAAGCACTAACCCGGGGACTTGACAGCCCAGTGCCTGACAGCCACCCCACCCCACCCCACCCCACCCCTAGCACACACACGTCTGTGCACACACACACACGCTCAGAGGCTGGAGACGTACCTCACTGGGCTCCACAACGGCCACATTCTCTGCACCCACTCTCCTCTTCATACGGGAGGCCATGGTGATCCCACCGCTGCCCCCTCCCAGCACGAGCACCTCATAGTGGTTCTTGGCTGCAAGGCCAGCCCCCGTGTGCAGCTGAAGCAGGCCAGCCTGCTGAGCACCCAGCCTGAGAAAGCAGGTGAAGAGCCGGGCTTGGGAGCCTGACACCACGGCGACCAGCGGGGTCATCTTTACACTGGATCCAGCTAGAAAGGAACAGACGAGGCTATGAGTGAGGAAGGAACCACTATGTGAACAAAGCACTTTTTTCCAGAGGAAGCAGGCTGGCACCTGGCCCCACAATCTCTCCTCAAGACCTCCTCCCCAGCTGGCTGTGGTCCCAAAGTCTCCTGGCAGCACAGATTGGTAACGAACCACGGGCTAAGCTTCCATTTCTCCCCTTCCTCCTTCTTTTAGGGCACCTAGGACTTTGTCTGAACCCGGTAAGCCGCACCTTTTAGGTTCTAATAGTTTGTCTGTACTCATCCTTGTCCATCCAAAAGTTCTAGGGCATCCTGTGGTTGCCTCCAGCTGTCACCCATTCTCCCCTTGAGCACACACCTCAACTCTCTCTGTCTTTTCAGTCCACCAAAGACGTAGGAGTCCATAGACTGACACCTGTACAAGTTCTCGGCGTGGGGCCCCTTAAACCTTGCTGAAACAGCAATAGTCCAGCAGGAAACCCACCCTCTGCAGCTCAGAGTTCACACCAAGGAAGTCAGGGCCCTGGCCCCACTCAGAGCCTCTTGGCTCTGCTTGCCTGGGGACACGCCATTTCATCACATCATGGGCGACAGACATACAGGCAAAGGCCCTTCACACTGTTGGCAATTTCAACCAGATAATAAAAAAGCCATAAAAAGAGTCCTGCCTGGTATCATAAAGTTATATTTTATGTAAAGAATCTACACATGCTGCTGACCAGTCTTTTATTATATACAACCAGTAAACAATTTCCCCTTAATAGTTTCTCAAGGAGACACACTTAACCTTTAGAAAAAGGCGTATCTGCTCTGAATATGAAGGCAGTGAGGAAATGAAGGCTCCTCAGACACGGGCCTTGGCTTCCTCCCACCCACAGAACTGGCCTGATGTCTTGGATACCACCTACTTGAACAACTGGAAGGGCCCAGAACCAAAGTGTCTTCCTCCCTGGGCATTACCATGCCCCAAATTCCAACATCAGGTTCACTCCTTTGGGTTCAACAAACTGTCCCAGGAACCCTTTATTCAAATGCAAGGACACAGCTGTGGTTAACACTTCTAGCTGCTCGGATCACTAGCTTCTTAATGGGATCGATTTAGTTACATCATTTCCCCTCAAAACTGGAGAAGAAGAAGGCCGCATGAGGGGATTAGAGAATGCTGAGAGGGGAAGGGGGCTCTGACAGGGAGAAATGAGAGGAAGTGAGAAGGAGGAGCCGGAGAGCTGACTAATTATTGGAATGCACTTGATGCCCGTGCTCTGGCACCCTGACAGCTTCCTCAGTGTTTCAGGTCTGAGAAGTGAGCCAGCGATTTGGGGGCCCACAGAAAGTGAGGCAGGTTCATACATTGTTGCTGCAAGCTTCAAATCTGTAAGACCCTTTTAGAAACCACATTTATCATCCTTTGCCCCTGTATTTCCATTTCTGGGACTCTGGTGTAAGGAAATAACCTCTAATACTGAAGAAGATAAACCTTTACACAGATGTATCTCACATATTCATTCATAATGCAGGGTCAACCCTCGGTGAACTGGTTTGTAGACTGGATCCAGGTCACAGAAAAAGCTCCACACTGGCTGGGGAAAGCTCAGGTCCCAGACTATTTCAACCAAGGTTAATTTATGATTATTTCAATTTAATATGGGGTGCGGGGGGAAGGGCAGGGACAGCAGTCTGAATGTCAAAACTTTGAGGAAAGGTTAAGTAAAGTATGTTTACACAAGATGATTATAGAAACATATTATAGAAGACTATATAGGTCCTTCCAAATTATATCTACAAAGAGCATACAAAGTGCTCATGTTGTGATCAGCATGCAAATTGGAATACAATATGAGTAATTGAGCTCAACCATGTAAGAGAAAATGCTCTAAAAAAGACAGCAAAATGTTAACCCCGGGTGAGTGGTTTTCCCTAGGTTTAGAATACTGGATGATTTTGATTCTTCTGCTTTTCTGTATTGTATAAAATTTCTACCATACACATATATTAATGTTGCAATGATAATTTTTTCCTTTCTTTATTAAATGTATTGGAGTGACACTGGTTAATAAGATTATATAGATTTCAAGTGTATAATTCTATGGTACATGGTCCATATATTGCATTGTGTGCCCCCCACTCAAAGTCAAACCATCTCCCATCACCACATATGTGGCCCTCTTCACCCTTCACTAACCCCTACCCCCAGCCCTCTGGTGACAACCGTGCTGTTGCCTGTGTCTATGAGTGTCACTTTTACATCCCACATGTGAGTGAAATGATCTCAACAACAAAAAGACAATGATAATGTGACAAGGTTATATCTTTTTAAAGATGTATTTTCCATACTTCTCAGAAAAGAGGAAAACCATTTTTCATGGTACTGATACCTGAATATTATCAATGTGCTAATATAACTGTAATTTATATCTTCTTAGTTTTCTTTGATGAACTGTATTGTTTTAAATTTTTTCTCAAGTTTTCTTTGATGAACTGTATTATTTTAAATTTTTTAAATCACTCAGTTTGATTTTTATTTTTTTATGGTTGAGGAGGGGAGGAAATCACCAGTTAGGATGTTGCTGTTTGGCAGGAAAGGAAAAAGATATTTTATGGTGAATAGAAAGTCGTCACATCTGCTTTTCTAAAATATCCATAGAACGCCAGAGTCACGGCAAAACTCCTGACTTCCCAGAAAAGGGCAACCATTTTTTCACGGTCCTAACACTATATATTAAAGCAGTGATCTAGAAGGAGGCCTGGCTAAGTTTCTAATTTCCACCCACTCCACCTGAGATTACTCAACCTCAATTTCCCTTGCAGCCTAACATCCATGGCTCGTCTCTTGAAAGGGGAAACATTTACGTAAATATTTCCCACCTTCAGCCAAGCAAGTAACTTCCATTTCAGCAGTTACCCACACTCATCTCTGGAATTGGTATTTATAAACACCAACTCCTCCTGAACCAGTTTTATCCTCATTAATAACAGCTGTCAAGCAGAATGCCTGGCCTTTGCAGTCAAATTTCATTTGCAAAGTACAAACAGTTTCAAAAACACACCAAAAAAATGTGTGAGGGAAAATGTTCCAAGTTTCAAAACTCCTGAAAATCTCAGTAACACTCTCATTCTAATGATATAAAGCCACTTAACTTCCAGATCAGAAAAACCAGAGTACTCCTCTAATGTTGTCTGCAGAAAAGGTGGGGTGCGGTACTGTGCCAAAGACTACAAACAACCCAGGGCAGTAATGTATAAGTGGAATTACTTAATATCCCACTTTGGAACTGTGAATATGTATATATGTATATACATGTATACGTGTGTGTGTGTGTGTGTGTGTGTGTGTGTGTGTGTGAATGGCTCCAGGCCCTGCAGTCTAACTGGAGAAGTGTAATCCCCGCTCATTGGAAGAGGAGACAACCTGTTGGTCACCTCCTACTGACATCACTGGCCAACGGCTCCAGGCCCTGGTCTAAACAAAAATCAGAGTATCAGAGTGGACACTGGCTTTGCTCTTTAGTCACTGAAATATTAAGATCTGGACATATTTCAAGTAATAGCAGGATAACAGAAATACAAGTAAAAGCATCAAAATTATAATGACTTCCCTCCAAGTGCATAGCTCTATACTTCTACAATTCACAGAGCCCACATTAGAGGTATGAACACCATTTTATAAGTGGGGAAACTGAGGCTGGAAGAAGAAACATGATCTTCCGAAGGTTACACAATGAGTGAGCAGTCTGAATGCCCTTTGGAGCAACAATGCAGGCATCAGCAGGAGCTAGCAATTCAGAAGCAAAGAAGCTCCCAGTCTGGTCCTTCTCCAAGCTCCCTCTGGCCTCTTTGCTGGGCAGGCAGGACTGAAGTGCTACACCAAGTGGCCCCACCCGCCATCTCCCAGAGGAGCAGGCCTCCAGGCAGAGGCAGATCCAGGTTTAATGGGCATTGAAGCCTATATGACATAGGGAATCAAAATTATAAATATGAAATTAGATATAATACTTAATTTTGAATGGGAAATCATAATAAATGTCTGAATCCTTGGAGAGTCGGGATTCTTTATTCTGAGATCTCTTTTAGGCAATTTACCAGAAATACACACAAGCATAAAAATGCTTCCTGGTTACAGCCTGGCTAACCCTTCCCTCCTGGATCACTTCAGAACTCCCTGTCCCCGCCAGGGCCTGTGCAAGAGGGAGGCCCTGAAGGAAGCTCGATTTGCTTCTGAGTAAATCCACCTCTAGTGTCTACAACTCTCCGCTAGGGCACTCTGGCCGCCCCTCTGGGACAAGCTGAACTAGCGGTACCCTCCTTCTACTAGTCCCAAGTTTTGCCAGTCCCCAACCCCTGCCCAAGAAAACATGGCTACTTCGGACAGTCTGAAGCTAGGTTCTGAGTACTACTGTGAAACTGGCTCATCACAGCCCTACAGCAGCTTCCTATGTGCCAGGCCCCATGCTAGGTGCTTGAAGTCAGAGTATCATCCGCATTTTACAACTGAACAAAAAAAGCTTCAGGAAACTAGTTACATTCTCAAGGCCACACAGCCAATAAAGGACAAAACCAGGATTCAGCTGGAAGGGTTGGAAGAGAGGGAGTGAGGGAACCAAAGCAAACATCATCACTTTCCCTGCTACAGGGAGGACACTCCCAGGAACTGACTCACACTATTATAGAGGCTGACAAGTCCCAAGCCAGCAGCCAACAAGGTAGAGACCCAAGGAGAGCCAACGGTGTAGTTTCAGTCCAAAGGTCAGCAGGCTCAAGTCCCAGGAAGACATTGCAGTTCCAGTGAGAAGACAGGAGAAAACCCAGTCAGGCAGAAAGGATTAGTGGGAGGGTCAGCCTTTTTGTTCCATTCAGACCTCCAGCTGATTGGAAGAAGCTCCCCACAGTGGGCGGCAGGCTGGGGTGGGCAGGATGGCCCAATCTGGGTCATGCAGGCTGCCAACTCCTCCAGCAACACCCTCACAGACACACCCAGAATACTGAGTGACCAAATGACTGGACAC